CGAGCACCGCCAGGAGCGCAGAGACCGGCCCTATTAGACAAGACCTGCAGAGCTGCATTGACTTCCAGATTTATTTTTTAAACCAGAAAATGTTTTAAATTTATAATTCCATATTTATAATGTTGGCCACAACATTATGATTATCCCTTGTCTGTACTTTAGTATTTTTCACCATTTGTGAAAAAAAACCCCACAAAACATTAAAACAAGTTAAATGGTAAAAAAAAAAAACCAAAAACAAAAAAAAAACCTGAGAAGAATGAACAAATCAATAAAGCAAAATTAATGTTTAATTCACAATCTTAGTCAATTAATACACCTCACAATTTACTACATCTTAATAAAGCATTATTTACCATGAGTATTGTATAGAGGACATTTTCTGATAAACAATGAGTGAAAGATAAAATTAATTATGACATCTGAAACATATTTTAGTTTGCATTGAAATCAACTCCTGGCTTACCCTCCAGTGTGTTTTCAGAGGCTAGAAATTGAAAGGGAGGAGATTTTACGTCTTTCTCCCTTGGAGACCCTTTTGGACTGGAACCACTATAGACATGCTGCCTTTGCATTTCCAGTATATACATGGACCATCGCACCAAGGGATTAATTGGAGACACAATAAAATCAAGGGGTCTGTGTACCTTTGTAAAACTTACTCTAGCTAGCGAATACAATAGAATTATTTGCCTGAGAAATATTTTGTGTGTTTTTCTATTCATGTAGTTTTCTTAGGAGACAGATTTCTCTTCATTTACCTTGTAGCATACATTTAAAAATTAAAGGCATAAAACTATGTAGAATCAATGTGATAAAGAAATAGTGGAGTTCATGATTTTCATGAATTAAAATAATTTAGAGACAAAACTCATGTTCATCCCATTCATTAGAATAGAAATAATAAAAATTGGCTCACCCTCATATAACTCGATTTATTTTCCAAGTATCTAGAATATGCTATAGCTTCTATGAAAACAGGACTAAAGATAAAAAAAAAATACTGTATTCTGATAAAGTGAGATAAATGCTGTTGTTGTATTGTTGTTATGTACCATTGAATTGTTAGTGATTCATAGCATCCCAAGATACAATAGCTCTGAACCCTGCTCTATCCTGTGCCAACATGATTTTCTCTGAAACACTTAGACCTAGTCATTGAATCAATCCAACTCATAGAGGGTCTTCCTTTCTTGCACTGTCCCTCCACGCTCTCAAACATGATGTCCATCTCCAAGGCCTAGTCTCACCTTGTAGCATTTTCAGTGTGTTTCAGGCGAAGCTTCAGAATCCTTGTCTCCAAGGAGCATCCTGATTTCACCCTCTTCTGTAAGTGAACGAACCTGCTTGTTTTCCTAGCAGTCCATGGTATATTCAACACCCTTCTCCAGCAATACAGTTCAAAGGCATCAATCTTTCTTCTGTCATCCCCATTCATTGTCCAGCTTTCTGACACATGTTGTTTATTGTTATGTTCCATCGAGTAGTTTGCGACTCATAGCGACCCTATAAACCCTGCTCTATCCTGTACCAATCGCACTGCCTCAGACACTGCCTCTGATACCTCTATCTGTATTACCCCAGCCACTAAATCAATCCACCTCATAGAGGGTCTTCCCCTCCTGCGCTGTCCCTCCACACTACCAATCATGATGTCCCTCGCCAAGGGCTTGTCTCTCCTTACAACATGTCCAAAGTATGTCAGACGAAGCCCCAGAATCCTTGCCTCCAAGGAGTAGTTTGGTTTAACCCTCTATAAGATGAATCTTTGTTTTCTTGGCAGTCCGTGGTACATTCAATACTCTTCTCCAGTACCACAGCTCAAAGGAATCAATTCTCTTTCTATCCTCCCTTGTCATTGTCCAACTCTCTGATGCATAACAAGTGATTGAAAAGACCATGGAATGTATCAGATGCACCTTAGTCTCCAGAGACACACCGTTGCTCTTGAGTACCTTAGAGAGGTCCCTAACAGCAGACTTTCCCATCACAATATGTTTTTTGATTTC